TCACAAATTCATAAAGATACATATGTTAGTATTGTACTAACATAAACACATCCCATAACAACTCCATAATATACTTGAAACTCATTTTCTACCAAATATTTAACACTTAATAATTCCTTTTAACATTGGCACCAACTTTTCCAATTTACACAAAATGGTCCTTCACCATTTTATCACTTAGATTCTTAATACCAAAAATTACAGCATTGAAATTATTACCAACCAATTACTTTTACAAAGGTACAATTACATTTAAGTACCCCAACTATACGAATATTGTACTTAAATCATCAATCTTTTTAAACTTCCAAAATAGTCATATTTCACATCTAAACACTTATTTCAATTCTAAAACAGTATTTTCCAGCATAGTACATCAACTATTAAATAATTATACAATCATTCATAACTTTTCTAAAATTGTCGAATTGGTCCCCCAACTTTTCAAAACTTACAAAATAGTCCCCAAAATTTTCTAAGGCTTGTAGAATACTTTATACATCATTTCTAGACCTTATATAATTTTTCCATCAATTTTTCTCACTCAAATACATCATGGCCGAATTTTCAAAGAATAATTTTTATAAAGATTGAACATGTTTTATCCATAAATCAAGCTTGAATATGAATCTACAACCTCTAAATCATCAAGATTTATCATCAATTTCATAAATCCTATCATGAACATAAACCCTTAGATTTGGGATCTTTGAAATCCAACAAGATTAGAAAGAAATATTGGTACCAAATGATGGCGTTTTTCGCGTAGATCACTTTCCTATATCACATCATAACTCGAATTCCAAAAGAATTGGCTCAAAAATTAAAAGCAAAATGTTTTCTTACCTCTAGAAGGAGCTCACTTCTTTACTGGAGAAGGTGAAGAAATTCATATGATAATTCTTCATCTTTCTTTATTAATAATGAATAAAAAATTCATTAAATGTTAAATTACCACTTTACCCTTGAAATCAAAATATCTATACTAACTTACCCAAAATGTACTTGATATTTACATTAATACCAAGCCACAACAACCTTATCATCTTCCAAAGTCAAATATGAACAAAATATTTTCCCACTTTACCATTTTGCCCTTGAAATTTCTAAAACTTACAATTATGTCACTTTAATCCAACAGTCTAAATTAAACATGGAATTAAACCCTTAAATATTATTTTCCAACATTTATAAATGTTAAAATAATATATTTATTTCCTTATTTTCGAGACCAATTGTAACTTTTCAAAATTACCATTTTGGTCCCTAAACTTTTCAAAGTTTATACTTTGGTCACTAAACTTTACAAAATCTTATAATTTGGTCACTCACTAAATCCATTTATGAAATAACATTATTTTTGGGAAAATTACCACTTAATTCCTTAAACTTTTCCCAATTTTCTACTTTGACCATTAAACTTTCAAAATTTACATTTTGGTCATTATCTAAATTTTTGGGGTATTACAGTTACAACCCAAGTAGCCATACCAAGCATAGCACGTCTAAGTATCTTCAATCGAACATGTATTGAAAATTAAGAACGAGGATGGTTATAGAGGATGTACCAACATACGGTACGATAAGTAAGTCATATTATGTAATAGTGACGTCGCACACTCCGGAAACTTCAGTGAACTGAGAACGTTTAAGTTGTCCCCCCCAATTCAAGAAGTAATGAAGAGAAATGCGATAAGAGCGACTAGAGTGTCGTTATCCAATAATGAACTCAAGTTATGTATCAAGCTAGCTAGTATTACATGAAATGAACATCAAATGTAGTTATCGTCGTAAATCATAAAATGCATAAGGACATCATTAGAGATAAAAATGACTAAAATACCCTTAAGTGTTAATGACTAGGAGAAGATAGTAGCTAGTAAAGGGGATGACCTTACCTTAGTATACCAAACTATGCTAGTGTGTGGTGAGGCAACCTTAGTTGCTTTTGTGGGGCATCATTAATGGCGTGTAGCTAGCCTACCTCAGTTGCCCTCATTGGGCATTGCCAGTGTTTTGTTGCCTTGAGCCCTCAGTCTTGCATGTATAGTTGCATGATTCCAGTACAACATATATCCTTAGAGCTTGTCTTGACAGTTGTGTGAGATCGAGCCAATAATTTAGTTGAGTTGGAATTATATCGATGCTATGTGATAGTGGGTTTCCCTCCATGATCTACCTGATGGCTATGTGATACTAGGAGATCATTCAACAACTTAGTGAGAATTTTACCGATACTACATGACACAATGTTTCGATATTAGATGAACTGGATGAAATTTGGGTAATTTTTGCAATGAGTATTGATAACAGGGGGAGAGTATCGATATTGCCCCTAAAATATCGATATTGTGCCAATTTTTAGCAAACAGAAACCATTTTAGGTATCGATACTTTACCCTAGGTATCGATACTACAGGTAGAGTATCAATACTACCCACTTGGGATGGTTAGATTTGGTCTCATTAAGGCCCGTACGAGTTAAAGATGATCCGTAATGGTGGAACTTAGTTCGTGAGGGGCATAAATGATTAAAAAGGCCTACAAACACTCGTAAGATTAGATTACAACTGAAGTAACCATACCAAACGTAATATGTCTAATTATCTTCTGTCAAGAAAGTATCCAAAATTAATGACGAAGATTGTTGTAGAGGATGTATCAATAAGCGGTACAATAAGTAAGTCAGATTACGTAATAGAGAAGCATGTAATCTGGAAACATCAGTAAACCAAGAACGTATAAGTCGTCTTTCCAATTAAAGGGGTAATGAAGAGAAGTGTGATAAGAGCGACTAGAGTGTCATTACCTAGTAATAAACCCGAATCAGATAAAGGGCTAGTTAATATTACATGTAATGAACAATAAATACAATAATCGCCATAAAATCATGAAATGACAGAGACCTCTTTAGAAAAACTTAATAAATTATAAAAATAACATATGATTAACCTTCACATAACGTTCTAGTTGAGAGGACAAATGAGATTGTAACTAGTAAAGGGGATGACCTTACCTTAGTATGCCAAACTATGCTAGTGTGTGGCGATGCTACATTAGTTGCCCTAGTTGGTCATTGCCAATGGTGTATAGCTAGGCTACCTGAGTTGCCCTCGTTGGCCATTGTTAATGTTTTATGGCCTTGAGCCCTTAGTCATGCATGTATAGTTACATCAGTCCTATACATCAAATATCCTCAGAATTTGGCTTGACGGTTGTATGAGACCGAGCCAATGCTTTAATTGATCGGGAATTGTATCGATGTTATGTGACACCAAGTTCCCTTTCACGATCTACTTGATGGATATGTGAGACCAGGAGATCATTCAACAACTTAGTGGGAATTTTACTAATGCTATGTGACATTAGGTTTCCTCAGTTAACTAATTTCTTATGGCTATGTGAGACCAGATATTGGCAATATGTTGCATTTAGATAATGCACAATAGCGTTAGTGTTGCATTTAGATAATGCACAGTAGCGTCAATGTTGCATTTATTTAATGAACAACAATGTTAGTGTTGCATTCAGACAATGCACAACAATATAAATTTTGCATTCAGATAATTCATAGCAGTTATAGTCATTGTGGTTAGAGACCCATTAAAGGTGTACTCATGGCGAGGTCCTTAGTAGAGGATTAAGGGAAGCATGAAACTCCTACCTCAATGATAGAATAGTTAAACCCTAAGTAGGTAACTCTTGATTAAGATAATGTATGTACATATTGCTTAATACCATATCTTTAGCATGCTTATGTTTATGAGACTCATAATGCTGCTCTAGATTAGCGATTATACTTTGGGGCTTTGTAAGCTCAGTATTCAGATGTTTTTTGTTTGTAGGTTATTAGCTTAAGCTGTTGGAGGAGCACCGTTACAACATAACTTCCAACATCTCTTATAGAGTAGTGTACTATAGTTTTAGTTTGACATATGTATTCATAGGACCCTTATTATTGTAATATGATTTTATAATATTGAATTGTATTATTTTGATTTTACACTATGTGTCACGGAGCTTGGATTTATAAAGTGTTTTCATAATTGTTGTTTACGACTATTATGGTACCATTCATAATGTTTTAAAATGAAAATGAATAGATTTTTGAAAATTAAAGGTTGTCTTAGCAGCCCAATGTGGCACTTTAGGCCCAATCGGGTTTAGGGTGTTATAGAGACGACCACCAAGAAGAAGTTGGATCCTCAATTCGAATGGGGCATGCAAAGTGGCCACAGGACTGGTGGTGACGGACGAAATGATTAAAGACGAGAACGGTGTTTAGGTTCGGGATTTCTTGATGAACATCGAAAAAACCACAAGTGTGATGGCAGAAATCTAGGTGATACGGTAGGGAGTGCTCCTAGCTAAAGTGTTGGGGGTGAGAAAGCTCATCATCGAGGCCGACGCAAAATGGATCATTGATGCTTTGAATAAGAAAAAATTCGATAACATTCATATGGAAACTATCTTCAAAGTTTACGTAGAAATGAAGGAATGATGGATTATTGAGATAATGCATACCTGGAGAGAAGGAAATTGGTGTGTTGATTGTATAGCAAAGATAAAATTTGAAAAGAAAAAAAATAAGGGTCGCACTTCCTAAAAGAGCCACTTGAAGAATTGATTCCTTACCTTCAAGCTGATGTTCACATAGAGGAATCCCCAAGATGGTAGACTACAAAACATAGTCGTTTTGTTCTTTTGTAAAATATATATATATACTAGTGACGAGTAACCAGTGTGGATAAAAACAAAATTCCATGATTGCTTTCCATTTACCTTTTTCACTTCCACACGTAGTGTAACAGTCTCACTTGAACACTACTTCCAATGTGTATCTATTGGTAGAATATGGTACAATACTCTTCTCTCTATACTATTAAATACTATAACCGAACACAAGGCTACAGATTAATTTACATCATAAATATAGAATAAATCCTTTCCTTTTCAAAGTCCCTCATCTTTTCCCAAATGGATATACTGAGATAATGATGTGCTGACAAACCTACAACTCAAAAAAATCCCCAAAACAATGACTGTAGATCATTATCCCTCTCAATTTCTTCCATTTTCTTTCTCATCCATCTTTTGCTCTCTGGGTTCATTCCCTTTAGCCTGTAAAACCTTCAAAAATTAAGTCTTTTCTTTCTTGAACTCCACAGCTCTCAACATATCATTGAAATCCAATTTTCCTTGTGCTGTTGAAGAGGCACTGTTGAGGTATAATTTCATTAACTGTATTTTTTCTAAAATTCTATTGTTTATTGATATTTAATTCATGAATATTCATATATTTGAAAGGCTATTAATTGTGTGAAAAAGCGAAGTTCTCTGTCTGTTGAAAAATAATAGCATTGTTACGATTTACGAAAAGGAAGTCCGGTATTTACTGGGAAAATTAGCAGTAAATTTGATAAGAAATTGGAAAGTGATGATTTTGAGAATTAGGGATGCTGTCAAGGGCTTTCTGGTGAATTTACAATAGTGGTTGCAGTTCCATAAATAGGAAAAATACTAGGAAAACACGATGATAGACAGTAACACGTGTCATGACATGGAGGCTTCATTTATTGGTTCTTTTTTGTAGGCTGCTTTACTTTAAAGATTTCTTTGATTGATAAGATCAGAATTTTGGAATTTCTCTGTAAATTCCTTAGATTTTATTTTTAAAAGAACAAAGTTTTAAGATGATAACATCTATTTTATTCGGATTTTTACATTTATTAGTGAGTGTATTGCTTTTGTTATTAATGTTTTGATGTATTGTTATAGCCTATCTTAAGTTCCTTAATCAAAATAATTGCTTTAGGGATGGTCTGTGGGGCGGGCAGCGTTGAATATTTTGAACTCTCATATAATTTATTTTTGTTCTTTAAATTTTTATAAGTTCATCACGCTAAAATTTTATGAATTTATCTCTTAGCATAAAATCGGAATCTGTGCACTATATCATGTGCTGCACTGAGAACCTCTTTTCATACTTCATGCTGATTTCCATAACCAAATTTCTCCAGCACTACCACCGGACCTTTAGAATCACCGGAATAGCTGCTTTATAATCATATCTGGCGGACCGGCTGACTATGCTTTGAGTGAAGCATCAGCATGATTGAAAGTCATCCAGAAAATCAGCCTTCAAAGAAATCTGAATAAAAAAAACCAGAAAACAAAAACAGATGAGCCCTGATGCTAAAAGAGTCCAATCTTACCTATTTAACCAGTGGCTGGTTGTGACCTTACCTATTTATCTATTAAACCAGTGGCTGGTTGTGACCTATTATAAGAAAAGTGATTTGAATACTTTAAACATGTGTTAAGCACGAGTGAACATCAGACATTTAGATATATAAATTTTCTGTTAGAGAAGATTAAGGATTTTTGGAATCTCTTGAATTTCCTTTGATAACCTTTCGGAGACGGTGATGGTGGAGGTGTCGTCTCTTACGGTCTTAGCACATAAAAAATATGACAACCTTCAAGATCATGAGTTAGGAAAATCGTGCACGGTTGTTGTTATTCGGTTATCCTTGTTTCAGTCAGAGGGAATCAAGCGCATGAAGGAGATGATACAGGTACATTTGCTTAAGAGCCTCTGGTTTCTTCTATTGCTTAGCTTGGTAATGTGTTGAACAGATTTGGTTTTGAAATCAATCTCACTGTTTCGTTAAAGGGACAGAATATTATCATTTTTGCTTAAGTTTAACTGCCTATGAAGTGTAGTGTTAAACATAGACTTTAAGCTGCCATTCTCAAATATTGCATTGATTTATGTTTAGGATTTTATGCATATTTAGGCATCCATTGGAAACTTGCAATACAACCCTGAATTGCATTTTAGCAGTATCGAAAGTCCAGAATCTGAATTGTTTAAAATGCTCACCAAAATGCCTTTTGAAAGAAAGAAAAGAATCGGATGAGACAATAATTTCTCAGGAATCTATGCTTAAAGTATATGCTCCAACCCCTAGGGAAGGCAGTTCGAAGAAAACGACCAATGAGGTTAGAATAATAATAATTCATAGATGAGGGGAGAGAATCTAACAAGGTAATTAGTTTCTTGATTGACGTAAAATTGATGCTGATAACTTGAACTTGGTAAGATTCCTGCCAAAAAGTACTACTATACTAATCTTAAACTGTATATAGTATTAAAGTTCTATGTGGCTTGTTATGGCAGATGGTTATTAATGCCCGCATATCGTTTTGGTAAACCAGGGTTACGGAAAAAGTATATACATGGGTTTTTGATGATTTCTGTTCTCATGCAGGGTTTGGCTTGACTGTAGGAAAGAAGTCTAAGAAGAGCTGAGTATGGAGGTCATTGGTGATCTACCAAGAGAGTTGTTCCTTGAAATCCTCTTACGATTGCCGGTAGAATCTCTGATTCGATGCAAGTGTGTTTGCAAATACTGGTACACTCTCATTAGCAATCCTAAGTTCATCGAATTGCACCTTAAGTACAACTGCAACAACAATGTTTGTGTCCTTCTCAAGCGGTGCCTTCTAACGTGCTTAGGAGAGAAAGAAAATATGTTGTCGTTGGTCTGCAGCAACGGTTTTTCTTTCGTAAATCTAGATGTTGATTTGTCTTTATATAAGAAGGAACCATGCTTACAGCTTTTAGGTCATTGTGATGGCATTATTTGCCTATCAAATTACAGAGATGATATAGTTCTATGTAATCCTGCAACTAGGGAGTCCATGGTACTCCCAGAATCCTCTTTCCCTTGTTATTCGCCGAGCTCGAATTTGATCCCACAAACCAGTGCCTTAGGATTTGGTTATGATGCTAAAACCCATCACTGCAAAGTTGTTAGGATTGTTTCGTACTGGGACAGAAGTGGTAGTGACTTACCCCAACATTCCAGGGTTGAAGTATATTCTTTGGCAACTGGTTCTTGGAAAGAAATCGATGTTAAAGTCCTCGCCCATGTGTGGTATTCTCCGTGTTTCGAGACATACTTTAATGGAGCTTTTCATTGGTATGCTATTGACAATAACCGAAACGAGGTCATCCTTTCATTCCACATGGGAAATGAAGCGTTTCAAGTAATACCGATGCCAAGTGCCCTCTCCTTGTATGATTATTCAATATGCAGGAGTCTTTTTGTGTGGAACGGACGCATTGCTCTAGTAGGTTATCCGAGAGAGGGGACCAAAAAATCGTTTGAGATATATGTGATGACGGAATATGGAGTGAGGGGATCTTGGAGGGGATCTTGGACAAAGATAATGACAATTGGACCTCTCATGAAAGTGGAAATGCCATTGGCTTTTTGGAAAAATGATGAGATACTTATGGAAGGCTCTGACGGATTGGTTGTTTCTTACAACCTTAAGACACAAGAACTCAAGGATCTTCCGATTTATGGGATCCCTAAGTCGTTTGCGACACTTGTGTATGTGAACAGCCTTGTTTCAGTCAAGGGAGGGAATCAAATGCTTGATGAAGGAAATAATACAGGTGAAAATGTTTCAACTCTGGTCACATTTTTGTTTTCTTTCTGCAGAATCAGAACAGATTACTTTCTTTTGATGCATTTTTGTTGCTTATTCAGAGGCATGGAAATCTGTTCTTTTAGAAGACTTGGATAAAAGTCGTCATTTGTGATTCTAATCCAAGTGTTTTTTTGTGTTAGATTTTGGTTGGTGAAGGATCTGCCTCTGAACCTGCATAAACTTCATCAAGTTTAATAGATGATGATCAGGGGACAATGGAGACCAATGAATAAGAAAGTAAAAGCAAATGAATGAATAAATAAATTAAATCAATACATATATAAAATAGATATTATCATAAATGTAAATAAAGTAGATGTAAATTTGGGTTTATAATCTTTGTGCTGTAAATGAAGATATTACGGTCAGTATATTATAATTTATTTAATAACATAATCTCTCTCTCTCTCCCCCCCCCCCCCCCCATACCTCTCCCGCTCTCCCTCTCCGGCCCCCTCTCCCTCTCTCTCTCTTTCTCTCTCTCTCTCAATACAAAATGACCAAAGAATTGCAGCATGGCTGCTTTCACTCTACGTGGTCATGTGGCCTGAGTGACTGTTTTGCAAACATAACATTATGATTATTTATATATTGTCATTTCATAATATTATGACGTTCAAAATAAAGCTCAGAAATCGAGTAATTATTAGAATTAATTCAAGTAATGTTCAAAACTAAACAAAAACAATTTTAGAATTGAATCAAATTTCGACCACCCTACTGGAGAGGACAAATTGAATGCAAAATTCAATATATGCTCCCATGGATGCTAGCCTCCTAAGAACCACCACTGTGCAACATAAATCCTACACGCAGTGCAGATGTTCCAACTGGTAACTTAAATCAACATTTATTTTTAACAGCAGATCCATGTTATCCCCACCAAACCTTGGGAGCCTCATCAAAACCAGCTTGAATTTGACAGGTGATATCACACCATCGCAAGCCTTGAATTTTTCAGATTTTCTTGGATATAAGCACTCACATTCCATCATTGCAGGGTTAAAATAATGCATGTCCTCAACTATGGTATTTACATCCAAGTGCTCTGATTGCAAGAATCCTGTTCTCCAGGACTTCCTTTTGTCAACCCATTTATAGTGTCTGACCATGAATCTACATCAGTCTTGACTGGGTTGATTTGCATCCAACACTGCCTCAGGCAAGCTGCAACATTCAACCTTCTCCCTCTGATACTCGTATAATGTGCACGAGTCGTCCTGAATATCATAATCATCTTCATTATTCCCCTGAATCTTACTCGAAAGTTCAAAGTCATTGCTATTATAATCACTTATGAAACTTTCCCCCCTTGTCGACTTCATTGGTTGCAGCTCTACTGATATCACCAGCAACATTTTCAGAAGAATCAAACCCATCCTTGTTGTCATCCTTAATGTCCTCGTGACCATCTTCCTCATGGCTGTGTCCAAAATGTGCAGCAGTTCCTTGAACAATTGGAGATTCATCAGCGGAGTTGTCATCCTCTGCTTGAATTTCATATTCAATAATCTGCCACTCATCATCATCACTATCAACATTTACGGGGTCGATGCGGTTCTGCTGAGCCCGCTTTCTGAGCATTAAGACATTAAAATAATAACGAATGAAATCCCCCCTCGCAAGGGAAGGGATAACCGCAGAAAGATGATCCCAGAAATTCTTACCCATTGACACAGGGTTGGAGAGGACAACAATATGAAATGCCAGCTCTTCCTCTTCGGTCCATCTTTTAGCAACTTCCTCCCCGATATCACAGAGACATCTCCCTGAAAATTTCCTGCCCAAGATTCTCTTAGTTTCTCTCTTGCTTCCATTACATGTTGTCTGACGCATCTAACAGAACCCTGATCAAAGCGTTCACATTCAGTTCTGCGTCTTCACACTGGAACTTTGCAGTTGCTTCAGAATTAGGCATTGGAATGACACAATAACCTATCATCTTATTCCCGTAATCATCATTTACCATAAGGCCTGCATATGATGATCTAAGGGCAACTTGAGGATCTGACGTATCTAGAAAATCTGTAGAGTTCTTCAGATCCTGTTGGTTCCATTCTGGAATATCAGCTTGATGATCTGGTCCAACAGAAACTAGCATTCGAGGAGAAAGTATAGATTGATAGATATCATTAGAATGAAGAAAATCCTGAATTCGGCGCCCAGACGTAAAATATTCTGGAAACAACAGAAGATGAACTACCACCTCTTGATCAGCATTTGCATTTATCCCGGTGCTGTTTACCCACCAAAAATGAGAAACACAACCAGAGATACTACTTTCATATTCGTTACTGATTCCAGTTAATACTTTGTTCCATTGATCTTCAGCAAAACTACCTTTATCTTGGCAATTACTGTAAATGTCCTCCCATTTACCTTATTCAAATTGTAACTATCAGATACAGTAACTTACTCTAGATTTTGACTGGCAAAATATATAAATAAAGTTGATGCACATATTTAGATGTGATAAAGGAACCATATGCAAACAATTAATCTACCACAGTACAAGATACATTGAATATAAAGAAATGGGTACCAAAATGCTTCTATAAAATCAAATATCTGCAAATGTTGTCTGCATGTCAACCAGATCAAATAATAAGAACCCCAAGCAATTTCATCAAATGCACCTTCCACATGTTCAATTGATGAACTAAAGCATAAAAATCAACCTTTTTTGTTTAGCAATTGGAAAATAAATGCTTATATATATGTTCTTGTTGATGATATCATGTACAAGGTCCACAAAAACATGCACTCTATGATGCAAAAGAAAATTTATAGATATATCGACATTGTTATAATACCAGAAATTTGAGGATCTGGGACAGCACTTTTGTGATGAACGGCATCTTCCCATTTCTTTTGTTGCTTGCGCGCAACCTCTTGAGAGTCATCGGAGTAAGGACGCTTATGAATCATTTTAGCCTGCCAGTAAAAAGTAGTCATACTTTAAATTATTAATTGAAGTATTCGCATTTACAGAATTACTTAAAAACAAACATTTTAAATTATTAATTAAAGTAAAAAACATAAAAATGTTCAGGTCTATATTCTACGCGACTGAGCTATATAGGCTTGTTCATACCCGAAAATTCGTTGACCAATCAAATTTGAGAGATTCAAAACAGAAGCAGGAAATGGGAAATGTAATTAAATGATTTTACAGATATAAAATAATTTACAAGAAATAAAGATAAATAATTTCAAATTTGCTATTTATAATATTTTACAATGAACAAAAAAAAAACAGAATATTCTTCTTTTTAATAAAACAACCCCTACATAGTTTCGATTTTGGAGAAAACTCCGGAAATATTCGACCGACCAAAAATAAGTGGAATCAGGAAAAAGCAAAATCCAAGGTCAAAATTGATAGATCAAAGGAAACCCTTTTAGAAATCGAAGAATAAAAAAAACTAACCCTAGAATCGAATTCGATGCACAGGAGTAGGTGAAATTAGGATCAAACGAAAGAGGATAAAACGAATTAACACTGCGAGAACCAATTTGAAAGAAAAATAAAAAGATGCAAAGATCAGAAGGAAAATTAATTTGAATTTGCGACCGCTACATTGGTGAAGATTGGGGCGAAGGTTGATTTATAGGAATTGGATCGGTGATATGCGAAGGCTGGCAGGACCGCAGGAGATAAATGTGAAATTACAAAAAGAGGTTAGAATCTGTCTGAAAATTACGGAAGATACCACTATGGGATTCGGGGGGATCTGACAAAACTGATGTAAGAAATTTAGGATTGATTGTCTATTTACTTGCCACGTGGATTCTTGCAGTCTGCTGAATTATTTGTTCAAGTATTAAGGGAAATGTTACACTTATAGTATGAATCTATATGAAAATTAATTTGACTACACTAATTATGAATTATCATACATGTATTATTAAACAAACAAGGGATTGGAAAAAAATAATGATTGAATGCGGAGACAAAAAAAAGGATTAGTGTGGATATCATATAAATTATGTACAAAATACTTCAAGATAATATTAAAGAAAATTGATCTGAAATTTAAATTCATAAAATAACTTGGGAATAGTCTCTATAATTTTAAAGTAATATTTATCCAAAATGAAATGGTTTTTTAATTATTTTTTTTGTTTTAGTCGTTGTCTAAGATTTTCTCATATTTGAATGAAGAATAAGAACAAAATAATTTTAAATATATCTTACAAAATTTCATAGAAAATATGTGATATTTTAATTTGGACATAATGAATTTAATTATGTTTTTTTAATATTATAAATTTCCATGCATGAAATTTTAATTTATAAAAGTTTTATATACTAATAGTTTATTTTTTATGTTGCCTCATAATTTTCTTATTTTTAAAAATATTTGAGGTGATTACAAGATATCATCTGTATATAATTTTTTTCATTATTGACAACGCACATATACTCAAGCCGGACCTCAAAAAAACAATATTCCTTAACCACTCAAAGAAAAATAACACTCCTTTTGGTCACTAAGGCGACTCGATATATTCCTACTTATTCTCTAACTTATAATATATGATTATGATATTAAATTATGGGCTGAAAGATTTAATATCTAATTATTAAAGTTTATTTTCTTATCATATTTAGTGGTGAGCATCCATTAACTATCTTTTCGGTTAAATATTTTGATAAATTTTAGAAAAGGCACAGCATAAACAATATCATATTATAGAAACAGTATCCAAGCCGACGTGGATTTGAATAAATCTTAAAAAGTGTTTTCCCCCCTCTAATCTTGGATTTGAATATGTATTTTTTGTACACCAATTTTAATTACGTTCTAGTGTTATGCCACATGAAGCTTAGTTGTTATATTCAATTGCATCTTTTAACATGGAAGGCTTAATTTGGAACCTTCATAACTTTATTATTAATATTATTTTTTTTATTTTGAAGTTTTTTATTATAATTTGAGAGGTGGTATATATTAAGAATAACTTAGAAGAGGAAGTAAATGGTGGTTAAAGAGATGAGCGTAATATTAAGAATAATTTATATTTATTATTTCATTTGTGTCAAAGTAAAATGATTCCAATAAAGAGACACTGTTTATGAAATTTCACCATTTTACAGATGAGACAAGATTAAGTCCAACAACAACTAATTTGTCTAACAAACAACGGAACGATGGTAATATTATTCAATATAAATGTATGGCGCAATAAATAGCTGTTTACCATGATGGTAAAATTCCAGCTCTGCTGGCTACCATGGT